CTATGTCCTCCTGTTTTTTGGCTTGAAAATGGTGCTGTTTTAATTATAAACCTTTTAATCTCAATTCCATTTCACCTTACAATTCATGGTTTCCACATGCTTCCTTCCAGAAGACGACCTTTTTTTTTCTCTTTTTCTGTTTCTGATAATTTTTCTGATCTGGCTTTCTGTTCTCCAAGGGCCTAAGCTCACAAGGTGCCCTACATTTTGCATAGGTATGATTATGTTTAGAGTCTCCCTAGTACATTTCAGATTGTTCAGTTGCTTTTGCTATTAGGTAATCACACTTTATGTTTAAGATATGATCTTAGGGTTCTGGCTAGGAAAGGTAGCTTTATTCGGCTCGATTTGGCCTTGTCACCTTCGTCAGTAAGTGGAAACCAAAGGCACGAGTGACTGGTTTCAATTTAAGGGCATTTCTAGTTGAAGAAAGGATCCCATTGGGATGCTACTTCCATTTTCTGTATAGGAAGTCGACCTTCAGGCCCAGGCTCAAAGGCAGGAGTTCATTACTGTAGAAGGAATTTCTCTGTTAGTGAATCTTCTATATGGGAGTCTTAATATTTCCTTCACTATCCTTAAATTAATTTTTAAAATAACCAATACTGTCGTTTAAGTCAGCACGTGAAAGAAGTGAGTCCATTGGTGGTCTAAGCTTAATTTGAACGTAGACTAGATTGGTCTTGTGAATTGCTGCGAGTAGCTCCCTAGATGAACATTAGTGGACCGGATCATATTTTACGATTCGTGGCATCGAAGAAGTGATTATAAATCACGAATATGAAAGAGGAGCTGTCACAATACATGCCCCTTACTTCGAGTGTCAGACATGGAATTTTATTGCTTGATGATTCACGATCGAATATTCCCTTCCTCAATAATTATACAGAGCGTTACATTAAGACATTAAGCCCTTGATAAAATACATTTTGGCTTCTAAATTCGACTCTTCTCGCAAAATTCCCTGGGATTGCTGCTGTAGGTGTATGTATTCATGGCCAGGCTTGAAGGCCTCCCTGGTCTACAATGTCGAGACCAATGTAGGGAAACGTCCGCAACCTTTGATTTGCGTATTAATTTTTCCAAGGGCTCTTCTGGCTCCGGAATATTAACACATTTTCGTGGGTTGAGCATTACTGATGAGTGTAATAGGAAGTTGTAGTTTGAATTTCGCTGAATCAAAGAATTTGATCGTTGATAGGACTTCAGCGAAAGTATTTCTCAGTAAACGTTCTTTTGAATCCCTCCTTATAAGTTAGGGACACTCATCTATATAGTGTACTTTCTGAATCGCCTGTGAGATAGCTGTTTGTGGCCCACTTTCATCCCTACAGCCTTCAAGAGAAGTGTTATAAAACGGCCTTTCAAAATTAGCTCTGTTACCTTTGCTGGCGTAGACTTCAGTTAAGAAAATATCATTTTTGCTAGTGAAAACGATTTGTTCGTAAAACCCACTTTAACTCCATCTTGTGCCCAATAACTATGAGATGGTCGTCTAAGGCGGTCAACCATTCGGCTCATCGCTCAGCAAATGAATCGATACCCGCTCAAACTNTATAAGTTAGGGACACTCATCTATATAGTGTACTTTCTGTATCGCCTGCGAGATAGCTGTTTGTGGCCCACTTTCATCCCTACAGCCTTCAAGAGAAGTGTTATAAAACGGCCTTTCAAAATTAGCTCTGTTACCTTTGCTGCATTAACGTTACTTAAAAAAATTTCATTTTTGCTGGTGAAAACGAATTGTTCGTAAAACCCATCTTAACTCCATCTTGTGCCCAATAACTATGAGATGGTCGTCTAAGGCGGTCAACCATTCGGCTCGTCGCTCAGCAAATGAATCGATACCCGCTCAAACTTCGTTCCCAATACTGCTGTCGAAGTTCCATCGCATCGATTTACGCCTGGCTTTTGACATTTTGACATTGCTAATCGTCAGGGCAGTTTTCAATTCCTTCTATATTGTTTGTATAGATTCCATTATAGTTTACTATAACAAATTGTTTAATTTCAAATTTTTAAAATTTTTTTATTATTCTTTTTAAACTCGAAGTTCAAATTTGATTCTTCTCAATTGGTAACAGCTTTGCTCTTTTGATTGTAATGTGATGAGATGGGAAAGATTTTACGATGACGCTTTTTGCCGCCAGCTGGATAGGTTCCAACCTGCAAGGCTTTGATGTTTTCCTCCAGTTTGATTGGTGTGTACTTCCCGAGTAAATAATAAATATAGATATGTAGCACAAGTAAAAATATGTGAGTAATAATGTACAGTAATGTAGTATTATAGTATATAGTAGAGTACTACAATAAATAAACATCAATACAGCACATATTTAGTAACAAAAGTTAATGTTTTGAAGATAAGAAGCTCTTTTTCTGACGGTTCCCAAGTTTGTAAGTGATGCGCAGGTCTCGGTACATTCAATCGCAAGGCGTTTTGAAAGAAGTTGAATGCATGGCTTATCCCTTCAGTGGAGGTTATTTATTGATTTTGGATCAAATTAGATTCGATGGCATTGCGATGCCACAATCGAATCAGTAAGTTGTTCTTTACTGTCTCGCAGTATCGTAGTTAATCAGTTCAAGGTACGAAGAGCATCATGAATGATGAAATTGCGCTAAAAATAGGTTCGGTTACAGCATAGTCTGATCTGTCTGGGTTATTGAGTACATCTAGTGAAATACTGTCTAGCTGGTGAGGACCGGGGTCATTTGTTTTCCTATGCCGTCTTTTTTCATGTCGAAATGGTTCAGAACGTCTTATTTTTTGTAGTTTACGTAGACGGGCACGGCCAGCCATTTTTATCAGTTTATCAGTGCTCTTCACCCTAGCAGGCNATCAGTAAGTTGTTCTTTACTGTCTCGCAGTATCGTAGTTAATCAGTTCAAGGTACGAAGAGCATCATGAATGATGAAATTACGCTAAAAAACAGGTTCGGTTACAGCATAGTCTGATCAGTCTGGGTTATTGAGTACATCTAGTGAAAGACCGTCTAGCTGGTAAGGACCGGGGTCATTAGTTTTCCTATGCCGTCTTTTTTCATGTCGAAATGATTCAGAATGTCTTATTTTTTGTAGTTTACGTAGACGGGCACGGCCAGCCATTTTTATCAGTTTATCAGTGCTCTTCACCCTAGCAGGCACAAAACAGACGGTATCTTCGGTGTCTGGAGGTGTTATGTTGTGTTATAAAGCTTCTCTGAAGTCATTTGACTTATTTTTCTCGGCATTTTGATTAGGTTGCACCCCTCTGTTTATGGCGCAGTCTACTCTTTAGCATACAACGTTTCGAAAAATCCCACATCTCCCTCCTCGAGTTTCGCATTCCGACACCTCGACAGAGTGTTCCCACGTGTGGCCCGATGGGGCTAGCGTTCCCTTGAAATGGTGTCGATGTAATGACTTACTCTCACTTGCGATTACGTCGATAGTATTATATCGCGATGGATACGCTCCAATTCGTAACTTTTTCTCAGCATACAGCTTGTACAGGGATCGCTCAGAAACTGTGATTATTCTAAATTCTTTCTTTGTTGCTAGTATCACTTGTGCCAGCTGTTCCTATCATCATTATTTTTCTGCCAATTTCATTCATGTTTACCTACTTGACTTCTAGCTCAGCACTTATGTGTTAGGTTCTAAACCAGGCTCGATCCTGCGGTCACCTTGACGACATTCCAATCAGCGATTCACATTATTTCAGCTGCTGATATAGGGTTTGTTGTGATCAGGTGATACGGCACGAAGTATTCTTTGATCGAGCTATCGCCCAGCAAGTTCATGAAAACATTCCACTTCCAGGTGTTATCCTGATTTGGGTTCTTCTAGTTTTCTGGACAAAAGGGTAGGGAAATTTGCTCACCTTCTGATTTCTTTCCTCCTTACTTCTTACGACGTTGTAAAATGAAGTCGTCAGCATACTTCAATAGGGTTCAGCGACTGCACTCGTATTGCCAGGCTCCAGCTACCTGATGGTAAGTGCAATTAGTGCTATAGTTCATGAGAAGGTGAAAAAAGGGGTAACGGAACGTCCAAGTGGTGGACTATGGCTGTGGAATAGAAAAGGTGTTTGAGAAAATTTGTAGTCATAATGGATTCGAATGTCGTGAAAGAACAATGCGATGATTAAAGTACTTGGATAAGTGCCTAATTTTCAAAATCGCGTCAAGTTTCGCAATATTTTCTGTTTTGAAGTGTTTCTTATCTGTATTTCTGCTTTATTGTGACTTGATTAACCGCTGACGCAAATCGAAACGTCCAATTGGAGGCGGGAACGTCATCAATTATTGTTTAAAGCTTATTAATGTCTACCAACACCCTTTTCCACTAATTACACTATCTATGAGTTTATGCCCAATTTGTACATCCTATTTGCTGTGGCTACTCATACATGATACTATTACTAGTGCTTACTGTTTGCTAATACCATTATTTACTTCCTTAGAAGAAGTATCACTTCGATCCGGCGGCTATTTCTACCGTTTTTCAGAATTTGCTTTAATTTAGGGCTGTCACAGACGAAAGTAGTTTAGTTTGACTACTGTTATCCATTTATGAACTGAAGAAATAGCATCGTCTTCGTTTTTTTCTGCGTTTGAACGATTAGCGATGAAATGCGAATTGAATAGTCGGAAATTTGTCACGTTTCGATGTGCTTCAGTACTTGGGTGGGCCACGTAGTAGGTTGTTGCCGCCTTCGTTTTCGACGAATCATTTTCTGCTTGCGACTTCGCCGTCCTTGTGGCATTCCCTTTTCTCAGCAATTGGTTCTGTGCCTTTTTTGTTTATACTTTTTTATATACGCTATGGAATTCCTTTGAATTTCGAAGGAACTACTCTAGAAGACGATGGATAACCTGCCACTGGCTATGTTTTTATGATATTATGTGCAATTTTTGATTTCGAAATTTTTGTGTCTCAATGCATCTTCCCGAACCGATATCGCTCTGATAATCTCAATACAGTCTTCGTTTCCTAACGAAATGTTTTTTCAGAAAATGTGGGATTGGCTGGTCTCACAGTTGGATGTGACGGACTTCATCATACTGTCCGCTCTAATGCTTGGCGGTATGTACTTCTTGGTGAAGTACCGACTGGGAGGAACGTCGAGGTGGGTTTGATTGAAGATATCAGTTGGCGTACGAATAATTCATTCTATCCGGTACAAGCTTAATCGGGGGTATTCGTTATCGATCCATCGAGCTGGGTATTCCAAAATTGTTAAAATTTTACTGAGGAGCCTGAGATTCCATAATTTTTCAGATTCTCGCGACTTTGAATACTGCTTAATGAAATAACGCTGAGCTCAGACGTAAAACCTCTCAAAATTTGTGTGAGGCAAGGGTAATACTCTAATTTTCAACAGGGAGGCGTCTGGGAGCAACTTCAAATGGCTATCTAAAAAAGGGTATAGGGCAGGAAAAAAAAAGGAAAACGCAGCGAACGCAACACTTCGATCTCCTATACTATCAAATGCCTAAAAACAAATCCGGCAGAAAGCTCCATAACGATAGCTGCGTCGCGGAAACTACTCATTTCACCTCAAATGCATCCTTAGCTGTGGAACTAAATTCCGCTGTTGGATCACGATCAACATCCTTTTAATGAGCCGATAACTCTGGAGGGAAATTACGTCCGGGCATTTGTTTATTTGCCTCCTTTCTAGCAAAAAAAGCAGTATTTATTTCTGTATGTGTCGGAAAGTGTAACCGGAGACTGCCCTTCTCATGGTGTATATAAACTATGAAGGTTAACTCTCTTTTTGGTAACATTAGACAGCAGTATTAGATGATTTCGTGAGCCATTTGAGTCGCCTTTCCTGTCAAATCTACTTGCTCCCGGTTGCACCCACAATTCAGCACAACCCTTGAATTCATCACACATACTTTTCACCTAAAATATTTTCCACATCGTTTTCAGCAGTTCATTTAGGTATAAGCCAAGCATGACACCTATTACTCCTACAGCCAAACCGAAGGATATGTCATTCATCTCAAGAATGAAGAATGAAAATCGTCAGGTGGTGTTGGGATCCTTCCTAATGTCTCGTTCATTTTGGAAATGTGATTCCCTATAGGTGTTGATTATGTACGGATCACAAACGGGTACTGCAGAGGAGTTGTCGGGACGTTTAGCAAAGGATGTATCACGATATGCTAAAAAGGTAAGTGTGCATAAAGATTGGGGCCGAACAGAGTGGAGGTCATAGAGCTCTGCATTATTTTGACATAATCCTTCTCTTCTTTCAATTTCCTTGTCTGACTCGTGATTTTCCATCTTTCATGCACATGATCATTTCTATTTCGTCTAGGGTCGAGCGTTTGTATAGGAAACTTAGTACAGGAACTCTCCTCAATCCTCAGTTCATTTTTCCCATTCTTCTTTTTTTTCTCAAATCCTTCCTTTAGCTTCGGTGTGATGCAGACCACATACTGGAGTAATGAATAGTTATCTTGCTCTTCTACTCTTGAATTTCTAGGATGCTCCAGGAAGCAATTATCAGACTGAGCCTTACTCAAACGCAGGGACTTAAGGCAAACGTTGAAAAATTTGTGTCGTACCACTGGCTCTTTTTCTTGGTTTTCTTTCTTGGTCTTGTTTTCTGAGCTACGAAATCGTAACTAAGGCGTTGCTCCACTATGCCTACTGAAAGGACATTTTGATATCAATCTTTCCTTTTATCCTGCTCATTTCGGTGTTCGTAACACAGAAGGCTTTTCCTACTGTCATTAGAGATCACCTTCTCTTACATCCTCTATCCATACTCCTTGGCTTTCGCACAAGAGCCTTATTTCTTTGTATTCCCTTTTTTTTGAAAATCCAACGGCCCTTTGATGGATCTGGCGTAATATTCTCTGGCAAACTTTGACGCTCTTCCAGTGTTGTTTTTCTCCTTCGTAGCAACACTACCCTCTTAAATTTAGTACGCCCATTTACTGTCAAACAGCAACGGTGACGTAAGTAACCTTTCTCTTCTTCTGTGAATGCTGAGTATTCTCTCCAACATCTGGCTTGATCATTTCGCACTCTGTTGTTTCCAGTACTGTGTGTCTCGGAACATTTATAATTTTTAGGCTTTAATTGTTGACCCGGAAGAAATAGATGTCGACGATATGGCAAGACTATCAGGTTGGCTGCTGTTTTTTTTTTGAAGATTTCATAGTCCCTTTACAATTTCAACTCCCCTTGAAATGACTAGGTGAAATGTCAAATGGACCCGTGTAAGTTATATAGCAGCGATCTGATCAAGACTTATGCCCCAAAGGTTGTACCTCCTATATGATGACGACCTCACGTCCATTGCAATGTTTTTATTAGGTCTTGGCGAAGTTTATGGCGACTAGGTGCCGGATTTCATTTCAGAGATCAAAGACTGTTTGGTGGTGTTTTGTATGGCTACTTATGGAGAAGGAGATCCAACTGATAATGCTCAACAACTTTATGAATACATTACCACGACTGACACCGATTTCAAAGGAGTTAATTACGCGGTCAGTTTGAAAAAAATTTTTTTCAATCTCCTGTTGAAATCATCCGAACTTGGTGTTGTTTTCAACAGTCGACATCGCATCCGCCAATCTGCTGTATGGCTTATTGTTAGCCAATAACCTCCTATGCGCTACCTTTTGTCTTACCTATTCGAAAATCGTATGCTATAGCATTAAAAAGCTCCAAATCAAAGTTTCTAAACAAAATTTTTCAAAAAAGTTCTGGAACAGTTGTTTTTTGGCGGCACTAGCAGTAGCCAATATGCGTTGAACGTTCCCAAAGAAGACCCGTCAAACCGAAGCAGACCTTCTTATGTTTTTTGTTTTAGTACTTTTTCAGCGTTTCCGAGAAAAACGCCCTCTTTCCATTCTTTACCGCCTCTCTTGTTTTGTGCTTCTCACAGTCCTTTCATGATTCTGTTCGTGCAGAAAATCCAAAGCTGCAGAGCTAGAGCTTCTTAGGGTCGATTCGTGGCTCTATCATCTGTCGTTAAGAATTCTTGATGTGTAACTTGAAAAACCTGACGAACGGGTGAAGAACCGATGGCAGACGACGGGGCACAGACACAAGCTTGGCCTTTTAGTTTGGCGTACTCATTCTCTCTCATTAATCGAAGATACATGTAGTTGCCGTTCATTTTTGATTGCTACTGCAGTAGTTTATAAGAAAATAGCTAGTTGGATAATTAAGATACCATCTGGGAATTCTTTGGCTTCTGACAGCCACCTGCAAGAGCACCATGTGAGAGGAATAATAAGGAAAGAACTGATCATCCTTTTGAATACCCCTACACTATTTTCGGTTGTAGGGCAAATAAGTTGTTCTCATTGAAAAATGAAGGAAATAGAGAGTGAGAGAGCTAACTTCACATTCTATGTCTTAAGAGGTGACTGTTGCTGAGGAGTAATCTCGGCGGATAGGTGTCTCAGGTCAGTGGCCTCGATCTATCAGTGGTTTTCGAACTGCATAAGGGTTACATCGATATGGATGAGTAAAGAATGGAATCAAATAAGTAAACGGAAATCAAATCTGCGAAACCGATCTCATACAGCCCCAACGGGTGCTCCTTCCCACTAGTTTAGTCCTTTGTTGTGGCCACTCTTCATGAGCACATGTGGTATCTGTTGGGTTGTTATTTATCCACAGAGATCCAACGAGACGGGAAGCCGTTCCTGCTACAGTAATTTTCTTACTGTAAACTTTTCTATCCTTCACATGCGTTCGGAGTTATGTATTAGGGGAAGGAGTAACTCTTCTACTACAAGCTATCCTTCAGAGGTGTCAGGAGCCTTGTAGGGCTTATGGGGAACAACTGTCTTTTCCTTCTGTTTTTCGATTGCTTGGGAATTTCGGCCATTTTTTAGTTCCTTACAATATTTTTTCAGGTGTTTGGATTGGGAAATAAAACCTATGAACATTTCAACGCTGTTGGGAAGCTGTTTGATAAAAAACTTGAAGAACTTGGAGCCGAGCGAGCTTTTCCGTTAGGACTAGGAGATGACGATGCAAATCTCGAAGAAGATTTCATGAGGTCTGTTCTTGGTTGAGGCGTTTGGGATTAGGGGTTATGTACAACTGGAAAATAGAAGGTCTAAAATTGTGAGGGAATGGTTCATCCCATAGAATTCCAGAGTTATAGAAATGGCCTGTTGTTTAGATGGCGTGAAGCTTTCCTACCAACAGTCGCCCAGCGTTTCGGATGGGAACTGAATACTGACGCTGAAACACTGCGTCAGTATCGCCTGGAGCTAGTCGATCACAATGCAAATGTCACTCTGTTCAAGGTGAGCAGTACTTCTTACTTGTCTGACTTGCCCTTGTAATACGAATAAGTTCTACTTTGAAGGGCGAGTACGGTCGTCTGGGCGCCTTTGAACGCCTTCGCCCTCCGTTTGATCAGAAGAATCCGTTCCCGGCGACGATAGCCGTAAATCGTGAGCTACATACAGAAAAAAGTGAACGTAGCTGCAGACATATCGAGTTTGCTGTCGAAGGTATTGATTAACCTTGTAAAAATTGATTGGCAGAATACATTTTTTGTTGAAGGATCACGCATTCGTTACGAAGCCGGTGATCACCTTGCTGTTTTCCCCACAAATGATCCAGAGCTAGTGGATGCGGTCATCTCCTTGTTGGATTTCGATCCGGAGCAGGTCGGAATCGTATCAATAATATGTTGTTGAATTCTTCCCGGACATCCAATGATTCCAGGCATTCCGTCTGATTAATGTTGACGAGGAGTCTTCGAAGCGGAATCCGTTCCCATGTCCATGCACCTACCGAACTGCATTAACGCACTATGTCGACATTTGTGCTCCTTTAAAAAGCCATGTTCTTAAGGTAAGATATCATACCCTAGATAGGTAAAAGTATTCACCAGGAGTAAGCGGGCTATTGAGCTTCCAATAGTGATCGAATCTTGACGCATAGCCTGCAATTTTCCCATTTATAAGTGGAAAGTCTGCATAGTTCCTTGATTTATCGACGCTTAATCTCCATAAAGCACAAAGGGAAGGCGTTGGACATTTACAAGTCCGCTTACAGAATGGGCCACGCACACGACTGTCATTCGAATGGTGTTGGCACTTACAGAAATGATCAACTTAGGCAGTGATCCGCAAGCGCGGTTGATTTGTACCAAAAATTAGCTGGATGGTCTGGGGTATATAGACCTCGGCATGGGATTGAATTCGATCTCAAACGAAAAGACGTGATCACCTAACCCGCTTTGGCGTTCAGACTTAAATAAATCGCAGATACATATATTCATTGTTCAGCAGATATATTCGTTTCCTCACAAATCATATAAATTTTTCTTGGCAGGCGATCAGCGAATATTGCTCAGACGAGAAAGAGAAGGCATATCTTCAACTGCTATCCACTGCTACGGAGGAGGGATTGGTGCGTAATTCCTCCTTTACTTTGACTTTCTGGGTGGTACCTGTTCTTGATAAAAACGAGTAATAGGATCATTTTGTCACCTTCTAATTCGAGTTAATTTCAGAAAGAATATTCTAGCTACATTGTGAAAGATCGTCGTTCAATTATTGATGTGCTTCGAGCCCATCCGTCATGTAAGCCGCCCATTGAGTATTTACTAGAACTGCTTCCTCGACTACAGGTTCGTTTATTGATTTCATTCCAATCAATATNCACCAAAGCTCACATTCACTTACGTTCGTCATCAGCTCGATCATTTTCTCATAATTTAGGCACGTTACTACAGTATCGCTTCTTCGCCAAAGCATCAGGAGAACCGTATCGCGATCTGTTGTATCGTCACGAAATATACGATTGGAGATCGTCTGATCAAAGGCGTTTGTACGAACTATTTAGCTGGAAAGGTGAGTGTTGATTCATTCACTTATTTATTTAGGCTTGTAAACTTTATTTACAACCGGCAAACACATAATATGATGAGAGAGAACACCCATCGACTATTGTTGGTATTGTCAGTTTGTTAAGAAAGAGGTGGTGTAGTAATAGGTGGTGCACTATCACTCACACACATGATCCGGATATCGGATCCTTGATCGATGTCTGCCCAGATCAGCCAAGTCTTCATCCCTCCGCTATCGCTATTTGGTACCAGACTTGCCCGAATGGATAAGTGCACTGACTTGTATATCTGAGGGCCACCACAAGTCATTGCACAAACCCCATGTGCATTCAAAACCTTCCCTGCGATCTTGAATGGAAATCGGGGTGCATCCCTCAGACGGAATTGATTAATGCTCAAAGACTTTTACGTTAGCCTCTGTTATCCTTCCTTTCTTCTACATCTTACTTTGCTCAGCAATAATATACATATCTTCAATGTTGTCTCCACAGCCTGTCCACGGCCTTTTATCAACTCTTTGATAGAGCTCGGACGCGTCACTTCTAAACTCCATGGGTCAACTACTGAAGAACTCGAATAGTATCGACATTACGTCGAAAATCCTTCAAGTCGCAGCTCCCAATGATCTGAGAATTGTGGAAGCCTAATAGGGCCACGCCGGGGGAGTGGGGTGAATGGAGCAGTAAAGCTTTTGTATTTCGTTTCTCGTGTGAAATAGCAACAGCTGCCTTCCATACACATCGCAGAGATGTTCTTTTGGAATCACCTGATGAATGGCTGTGATTGCCAGCCCGTCATTAAATGACTCCCAAAAGTTATTTTCTGCTAATATTTCCAAGAGAATGAGTTTGGGGTGGCTACCGAAAGTTTTATCAGACGACCAAGTATGATGAGCTGATTCTTTTTGCAGGAGGTGAATGACCGCACACCAGTTTTCGTACGTAAGTCACAAATGCGTCTACCACATCGTACAAACACTCCAGTGATTATGATCGGTCCTGGAACGGGTTTTGCCCCATTCAGAGCGTTCCTCCAAGAGCGGAAATTCCAGAAGGATCAAGGTAAGTGGTTCTGTCTTTGTTTGGGGTTTTCTTATCTGGGAGGCCTGAATAAGCGGTCCACAGAAAAGAAAACTGGTCGCTCATTCGAATGAAGTCGATGAGCGGCTGATAAATGCGATTTGAAGTAGATGTGCTCTATTCAGGTAAAGAGATTGGGCCAATAATGTTGTATTATGGTTGTCGACATCCGGAACATGACTACATTTATAAGGACGAAATTGAAGAAATGGTCAAAGATGGTGTGATTACCGATTTGTACTGCGCATTCTCGCGTGCACAAGAGCACAAAATTTACGTGCAGGTTAGAACTGGGTATTTTTTACAACACTTTTTGATCCAGTACTGTAATATTCCTACAAAATATAGTACTGTAATATTCCTGCAAATAAAACCATTGGCTGAGAAAGACAAGGGGTTCATCGGTAAAGACGATCCTAGACCGCCTCTCTAGTACATCCCATTCATTACAATGTAGACCCTTGTTGGAGCGACATGCAAGACATCAACCGCAGCCGCGAACTCACCATGCACACATGCCTTATAGGTACAGAGACAGGAGGCTTCCGACTATACGACTTGGCTCAGCAGAAACCTGCGTCCCTGTGCAAGTACTGGTACTTTTTGGTGCATTCCAACCCTCACTGCCCGACCCACATCAGCCACCACGTTACCCCCTTGCTTCGCCATCAACCGGCTAGACATAAATGAAGGAGTGCCTCCAATGACGTAGGTTAGTAACCAGCAGTGCTGCACGCTCCTCAAAATTGGACGCGGTTTTAATCCAACAGCCGAGCTAAGCCGAGCCCAACAATGAATTGGCGACCCCTCCCCACCCGTTGCTCTCCTGTGAAAAAGAATTTTATCTATTCGAAACGTGAAGTTCAGGGTTGAAATATGAAACTTTTTCAGAATAGGCTGTGGGAAAGTCGCGACAAGGTTTGGAGTGCTATCGAAGCCGGTGCCCATATCTATGTTTGCGGGTAAGTTCATGGATAAAATCTTCCTTTACTGGATATAACCGATGTGTCCCCTTTTATGGAATGTGGCCAATGCCATTTATTGATAGCCCCCTATTGATCGTCTCGTGATTTAGTGACGCTCGTAACATGGCTCGTGATGTGCAGAACGTTTTGCTACGCATATTACAAGAAGTAGGAGGTAAAAGTGAAGAGGAATCGGCTACACTATTCAAGAATTTGGAGCGACAACGGAGATACCAAGCTGACGTCTGGTCATAAGTCAGTATGGTCCATATGCAGTACCACTTATGTATCGTAGACCAGTTATCGTACTCCGAATCGTGCTAGAATTGGTCAGGTTCGAGTGTATTACGGTAACTACCTCACAGATTACTTGTGCTGTCTTTCTCGTGCTAGATGTATGAGGAAATCGTCAGGGTCGCTGATTTCCAACATATCACTCTAACTATCAGGGTGTGCGGGAAGTATGAGCCGGAAATTTTTTGACCGTCCTTACTCTTTCTGAAATTTTCGGGAAATTTCCATAGAAATACTGTATTAATGTATACTAAATATTTCCATAGAAAGAACATTACTGCTATCGTGTGAGAGAATAACATATCCTAAGATTTTATTATCACCATCGATCCACCAAATTGGGGCGAGCCCATCTTCGGCTTTTTTCTTTCCGACTTCAATGCGCTAGTACGAAGCATGCACTGAAAAGCTAAGAAGATGCATCAAGGCTAAATTCTTGATAATGATGGGCTTCAGCAGGGGCCCCAATGGATGGAGTCGAACTCGTAAAATACTAGTGCTTGCCAAAAAAGGGGTACAAATTGGCCATGATAGGGCCGAATAGGCATTAAAGATGGAGCAGATATGTTATGCACAAGTGGGTTGTGAGCTTGTGTGATAATTCCATGGAAACTTCCAGAAAATCGCAGAAAGAAAATTGGAGTCGCGCAGAATTTTTAGCAGACACATACTTTCCGCCACCTAATATCGTAATGATGGTTGTCTCATACTTTACGTTTTCGCCTGTTGTCGTTTGTTTGGTCTTATTAGGCAGATCTCGCATTCCGTGGATTTTGTGATACAGTAACTGGATAGTCGTATGTGCGGCGTTCCTAAAAAGTAAAATGGGTAAGCTCCTAGGTGAAACCATGAGAACACGTCGTGTTCCAGCTACTCTCAGAGAACTCAGCCTGGATTACTGTATCACAAAACCAACGGGGGTCGAAGTCTGGCTGGTTTCAATCGTAAGCTTAGGATTGTTCAATCACCATACTTGTGATTTCATTTGTGATAGTTTTTTTCTTCAGAATTTACTAATACTTGCATGTTTTAATTTGTTTTTCTTCTAAAATGATTTTTTCTTTGCCACCTTACGGTGCTTGCGTCTACCTTGAGAAATCGGTTTTTATCGATAGTTTAGTCGTTTATTACTTTCTATAAGGTAATTATGTTATTCCAAGTTTGTATTTCCGGTCACTGTCAAAATCGCCGAGCGGAATTGACATGAAATTAAAGTGATCCAAATTCAGTCAGTCCCTGACTGGATGGCGTGTTCATTGTTTTCGCGGGTGCTATTCCAATAGTTTTGGTGATAACTATGTGATGTTAACTTTTATGTTTTTTTATGTAAGATTTTGTTGAATGTATTGCATTTTCGCTTAGACGCAGAAGCGAGGTGGTCCTGTCAAGAAGGAACTCCGCGTCAATGCACTATGCACGTCAGCACTCGATCATGTATTCGAACTGTTTGATATGCATGGTAGGTAGTCTTTTCTATAATCGTCGAGTTGTTTTTCTTTATAAAGTTCGTTGGCCCGCGATAAATGAGTAGGCCTGTCAGGGGCGTTTACACTCAATGACCTAGGGTATATCTGAATAAATTTATAATTCATGGTTATTTCAAAGTGATCGGCTCTATGAAGCTGGTCACTTATCATGCGGATCATTATCACTAAATGTTGCTGGTACCAATTATAGAAAAACAGCGACACTGTGAAGATTCTGTTGAGAATCAGCAGGATATCAACTATTATTATTTGGAAGGCGTTTTTATTACTATTAGGTTGGTGCATAATTATAGCGGATTTTTTCGCGGCTTCTTTCTCTCGATAAAATTAAACTTTCGAACTCGGGATTTTTATAGAAATAATCTTCTCGCTTTCCTTAACAGAAATATGTCTATTAAGTCATCTTCATATACGCCACATTATGCTCTATTACTTCGGGAAATGTGGAAGGCGGCACACTCATAACGTGATCTCAACGAATTTCTCGGCGATGGAACAGTCACCCAAAGTCGAATAAAGANTGAAAATTGGAATATTGCGCAGAATTTTTAGCAGACACATACTTTCCGCCACCTNAAGTGATCGGCTCTATGAAGCTGGTCACTTATCATGCGGATCATTATCACTAAATGTTGCTGGTACCAATTATAGAAAAACAGCGACACTGTGAAGATTCTGTTGAGAATCAGCAGGATATCAACTATTATTATTTGGAAGGCGTTTTTATTACTATTAGGTTGGTGCATAATTATAGCGGATTTTTTCGCGGCTTCTTTCTCTCGATAAAATTAAACTTTCGAACTCGGGATTTTTATAGAAATAATCTTCTCGCTTTCCTTAACAGAAATATGTCTATTAAGTCATCTTCATATACGCCACATTATGCTCTATTACTTCGGGAAATGTGGAAGGCGGCACACTCATAACGTGATCTCAACGAATTTCTCGGCGATGGAACAGTCACCCAAAGTCGAATAAAGAATGGAATTTGCTTCTACGGTCGCCCTATTCACCAACAGAAACTCATGGATTATCACGTTGATCGCCTGTTGAAAAATTGGTTAACGAGCAGAACTTTCGACGAAGTGGATGGCTTGATGGCCAACGTCAAGGCGTGATCGCCTCCAAGAATCGAGAATTCTTCGCCTGTGGAGTTCGACCTCCCGGCAAACAGGAAGCAATGCTTCACGTAGATGGTGGATATGTTCCGGAGCAACTATTCAAACATGTCTTCGCTAGATATTTCTATCGTTTTTTCAAGTAGAATTTGCTGAAAAAAATCCGCAATAATTATGCATCAACCTAATATTATAGGTATTATTCACAAAGCTTTTAAAGTTTAATTAGAAACAGTGACCGTCTAATGAAGTGCCCATAGCCTTCATGAGGTAAACGTATTCGACTGGAATCGCAGTACTTTCCTCCTTGATGAGTCCCTACTTCATACTTGGTAGATAGTTGCTAGCTGAGACAAAGAGCGAGAAGAGTTGATCATACGAAAGCATATGCACGAATCATGACATCTTCATTTATTACTATGTTATTAATAGTATTATGCTATTATAACGCTATTATTATGCGATTATGATACAATTACAACACAAGTTGTACTGAAATTTATTGAAAAGAACATTTGCGGTACGATCAACATATTCTATTTAGTATTTGACGATCGGATGGGTTTTAAGCTTAAATTAAATGTGGCACAATCGAAATACTATTCATCAGTTCGGGATAGCCTGAGTATGGGAGAAGAGGTTTTAGTAGCACATATACTGGGGGACTTCTGATATATTTTTGGGGAATCTGGCACATATACTTGCTTTGGTTTACTTGACTTTTGTACTAACATTTATATAGATTATTTTCGATTTTTTGCCGTTTCATAAGTATAGGATCACCACCGACAGCACCGACGTTTTGAAATCTAGTGCAGCAGAATTTGCACTTGGAGGGATCTGTATAGGAGAGAATGTACTGAAACCTGTATCACGAAATGTTCATGAGGGCAATTTAAATAATCGTGAGATCCCTCAGCTCCGTTAAAAGATATTTGAAGACTACAGAGCCCCCACGAGGACAGGATGCCCGCGCAAGCTAACCTCGAACGACGAGAGGAGAATATTAAGACCTATTTCGGACAAAACTTTGTCGTTGAACAAAGTTCGATCAGAGTTGGATATCTCGGTGTCAAAACTACTGAATGGAGAGCCGTGAAAAGGAGCAGCAGCATTGTCAGGGCAGCAATGAAGAGGGCTCCCAGGCTTGCCGACCACCACAGGAAGTCACGACTTGAGTTTGCGAAGGTGAATTTGGGATGAGGTTGGACGAAAGTTAAGCATTATTGCCGATTAGTAATACACTCCAATTTCCTCATTCTGGTCGTATTTTTGAATGAAAAGAAAGTTAAGGCCCCGATGGTTACAACTACTACTGGCCTGACTTACGAAAAGAGGATCAACTCAAGTCGTCGCAATTCTGGGGGAGAAAGTCTCACGAAACGAGGTGCCTTCTGCAAAGATGTCAGGATGGAACTTGCTCTCGTGACCTCCAAAATGAACTCCAAGGACTTTCAGGAAGTCTGACAATGGCGCCTAGTGCCATTTCTGAGCCGGCGACGTGGTCCTAACTACGCTTTTCAACAAGACAGTGCTGCGATCCACGTTAGTCATTCCAAAAAAGTCTGGTTGCTTTCCCGAAATTTCGAAGTTCTGACATGGCCAGCTTGCAGCCCCAATCGGAACCCGATGAAGAATTGGTCGGGCATCATTATAAAAAAGATTTATGCGAACAACCGTCAGTTCCAGTCGGTATAAAAGCTCAAGCAGGCAGTACTTGAATTCTGGAATGAAATTCCCGGCGAGGTCTTTCGAAACCTTGTTTTGAGTATGCCATATAGGCTATTCGACACTGGGCTAGTACAGGGATGACCCATCGACTACTAAATGTTTTTTTTGTCGTTACTAATGATAATTTTTTTTNTTTTTTTTAAAAATTTCCAAAGTGATCTTATACTTATGAAACGGCGTGAAATTCAAAAACTAAATATCTGTAAAAATGTTTCGTCAAATGTCAAAAAATACCCCTGCATGGGGATTATTCATTGTTGTGACAGTAGTGCTTAAAACTTGGCTGCTTATCCTGTAAACACGAAATTTGAGGGCGATCTTATACTTATGAGACGCTCTGTATAACAAATTAAATTGCCATGGTGCAGCTACTTCTCTCTATCAGAGTGAAGTAACGTTAAAAACGACGGTTGTGGTTGCTTGTTTTGCAGCTAATTTGTTTGACTTTAAGAACTTACCTCGTATCCATATACGATAAGGGCTGACAAAATATAGCGACACTAGGGGATTTATTGCAGGAATAGGTGCAAACAGATAGACGAAGGAGTAATCCATGAGAGGATGGTGATAGATGTTCAAGGAATCAATTAGGCTGACGACTATGCCGGCCAAGTAGATCAAGGGC